AAAAATTAGCCTTTGCTTTGCATCAGATTTTCTTTCTAATCCAAAATAAACTATCAGTTCAGTTACTTCATTTGCCAGGTTTGGTGTCAGATCACTTCTGATATTACTGCAAGCAAGTTTCAGACCCAACGTAACTGACTATTAAGGATATGGCTTAAGATCAAGAGGAACCTGCCCAAAATAGAGGTAGTTCTAAACTGTTGAGTTATTTTGTCATTACAGCTGTACCAGGAACACCTTCTTGCTCAATACGGGTAAAAGGCCCTCTCCGAGTCAGTTCCCTGCTTGGTAATGTTCTCTGCTGCCTACTCAACAGCAGGTTATACTCCTCTGATAAAGATAATAATTACATTTTTATTCTCTCGAATATAATACATGACAGTAGTAAGCATGTGAAAAATACAACTTTGTATAAAGATCATAAACCAGTCAAAAAGCACAACCAATATTTTACTTGTATATTAAACATATCTGTGTTTCCTAAATGAGAATGGCAGCTATGTTCACGTAGGCTTTACATCCTGCCAGGCATAAGCCTAAATAATTAGCAAGGCTTAGAAGATTATAGCAGGATGATGGGAAACTGTGGGGCTAAATGGTAGCTACACAAACCTAATCCTAATGTTCTGAAGAGCAATACCTATTTAAAAGACTTAAAAACTAATATGCAACATTCTAAATGCACCATACTTTAAATACAGAATGTAATTAAAATGATGTCATTCAGAATATATTTAGAGAGCTCTTTCTAACAACTTGGAGCCTGTGGAGGCTTGCTGAGAACAGGACTTCGAGAAGGCAACAATGTCTGGAAGACTGTGGTGCAAGGCCATTTTTGCTTGCTACAAATTATGTCTACAGAACCAAAGGGAGCACACAGGTGTTGCTTAAAATTGAAGGTGTTTATGCCCAGGATGAAACTGAATTCTAGTTGAACAAGATGTGTGCCTGCGTGTACAGAGCAAAGAACACCACAGTGACTCCTGGTGGAAACCTAACAAAACCAGTCATCTGGGGAGAAGTAACTCATGCTCATGCAGACAGTGGCATGGTTCATGCCAAGCTCTGAAGCAACCTGACTGCAAAGGCCACTGGACACAGATTCTGTGTGATGCTGTACCCCTCAAGAATTTAAACAATTGAAAGTAAATACACAAAAATAGATTCATTTTTAAAAAGAATATACTTGGAGAGGGAGAAAGAGATGAGATGATCCTTAGAAAATTTCTGGGGGCTGATGCAAACGGTGTAGCTAGTTAAGCCTCCACACGCAGCACCAGCATCCCATATGGGCGTCATTTCGCATCCTGGGTACTCTACTTCCAATCCAGTTCCCTGCTAACATCCTGGGACAACAATGGAGAAAAGCTCAAATGGCTGGGCCCCTGCACCCACACGTAGACGAGAAAGAATCTCCTGGCTTCGGGTTGGCTCAGCTCTGGCCGCTGCAGCCATCTGGGGAGCGAATCAGAGGACGGAAGAACTCTCTCTGTCTGCCAATCCTTTTCTCTCTGTAACTCGGCCTTTCACATTTAAAAAAAATCTTTAAAAAGAAAATTTCTGTATTTTCTATTATTCTGTATTAATTCCTTAGAATTCTTCTAAAAAGTAGTAAATAGGTAAAAATAGACTCAAATTATAAGAGAACTGTGATGAGAAAAATATTATAGAACAGTAAGTAGTCATATTTTGGAAAATGTAAGATCTGATTCTTGCTTTTGATTAATTTGCACTAACAAAGTTTACTCTGTCTTCAGAATCATGACATAATTATTGACATTCTTTGCTAAATGCAACATTGAAATTAAATTTTTTAAAAACCTAGATTCAGAACTGAGATGGCAGCTAACTTAGGTAAACACTCAGAACAATTTTTTAGAACAAAGTGCAATCTTTTTTAACCTTAGTTGTTAATTGCTCTTACTTGCTGTGAATACTAGCCACAGTAGCATACACGCAGTCACATATACTATTCATATTATCCTGTCTGTCTCTAGGGGCTAGGACTGTAACACTGTCAGATGAATGCATAAATGCTAAGGTTCAGGTTAGACGCCTGATATGTTTTCACAAATCCATGCTGCCCCCTTCTGGATGTTTCTGGAGATTAAATGACCACAGATGTTTAATAAGATGTAATAAATGAAAAGTAAAACCTTTTCTGGTAATTTATTAAAGAAGTCAGCCTTCTAATGCATATGCAGAAACATACTGTTGCCTTTCATCTTTTAAAAAGTGTCCAAAGAGTCTATCCCAAATGGCTTTGGCAATAACTAAATTAATAACTAAATCAACGTGACTGAGAAGGAAATAAATACAAAGTACATACTTACTAAACAAAAGTCAAAAGCCAGTCAAGCGACTCTTTCTGCTGGCTTCCAAACTTTCAGTGTCAACAAAGAATCAGGAACTGCATTGGGCCTGCCCAATTCAATTTCAACCAGTGTACTACCTCTGCAAATACCCACCCATGGGCCTGAGTGCTTTCAGATGTAAGTAAAAGTACCATACTGCATTATACATGCAAATAAACTCTCTGTGTCGGAGACTCCACTCGGAGCCCACCACCACTGAAAATCAACGAAGATAGGAAGTTAGTGCAAATGAGAAAAAAGTGAACTGGTCCATGCTATGGTATTATCACAACTTCATAAGTAAGAAATATCCTACTTTTGTTTTCAATATGTTATGCTTTAATTTTTGGATTTTCACACCAATCCTATTAAACAAGTTCATTAAGGGAGATGATTTTGAAAGTGCTAGCTATTGTTAGTGTCTTTTTTCCTAAGCCTGTCCTCTAAGAATAAGCTACGCAGAAATAAAAAGCTCTGAATCTCAGAGAACAGACTCCTTCGTACTAGGATTTACAGTAAAAACAGTAAATAATAGGGCAGTAAAAATAAGCCAGGCGAGGAGGTTTCAGGTCATTGTCTCTGCCATGTGTCACTGCAAAGTTCTAATGACAGTCACAGACATGGTCCTGAGAGGGGCACCAACACCCACCTGCCCCTTTGCCCACCCTCTTCCTCAGATTCATGAGGCAAATGGCTCTTCTGGACTCACCCATCCACAGTTCAGAGTTGGGTAATTCACCCAAATCTACTTCTGCTATGTACCAAATCTGGAAAGAGTGCTATCTCTATCCATCTGTACTACCTACCTAAACATCTTAGTTACTAGGGTCAGGTTAATACGAGTCTCCATTTCTACATGTTAAAAAAAATAGCATGGAAGATCTGAGAAGGAGGAATAAGGAGGAATAAGATCCACATCCAATGGCAAGGATCGAACTGGATTCCAACATTCATTGTCTTGTGTAGAAGACTGGGCTGGAAACAGAACTGATCCAGCAACTGCAAACACCAGCATGTGTGACAGATTGTACCAGACCTATATTGACAAGCACACATAAGAATCAGGTTTGGAAACACCGCAGATGAAGTTTCCTTGGGGATCCCCCGCAACCGAATTTCTGGGCTCAGAACCCCAACCATGGAGAGAACTGCAGGTTCCATGGTCTGACCACAGAGTGTATATGTTTTTTTTTTTTTAAAGATTTATTTTTATTATTTTTTTTATTGGAAAGGCGGATATACAGAGAGGAGAGACAGAGAGGAAGATCTTCCGTCTGATGATTCACTCCCCAAGTGAGCGCAACGGGCCGATACTATGCCGATCCAAAGCCAGGAGCCTCTTCTGGGTCTCCCACGCGGGTGCAGGTTCCCAAAGCTTTGGGCCGTCCTCGACTGCTTTCCCGGGCCACGGGCAGGGAGCTGGAAGGGAAGCAGGGCTGCCGGGATTAGAACTGGCGCCCATATGGGATCCCGGGCATGCAAGGCGAGGACCTTTAACCACTTGTGCCACCGTGCCGGGCCCCACAGAGTGTATATGTTACAGCTAGCTGGGCCTCCTCAGTGGCTTAGATGGAACAATGAAGAGCATATCCAAGTGCACATGGAGGATATAGCAGTATAGTAGAGTCTGCAGAGGACACCTTGTACCATAACAGAGGACGGAGTACAGAACAAATGGAACAACTACCCCAGTCAAGTGTTGACAGTGAATATCTGGGCAAACAGAGACTCTAAGATAGATTGTGTCAACTGGTGGATTCTGGAAAGATTTCATCATGCTTGGAGTGGCAAGATTGGCAGTAATTCAGAACTGTTGAGCTATCAAAAACTCCTAAGCAGGATCCTTGGAGCTTGCGCCACATCAGGGACCCTGGGATGACATCGGGTGGCTGTCCTTCATCCCAGGATATGGAGGCAGTTGGAAAGCTGGGTGTGGCTTTTCCCCTTATCTCCCATTTCTCCCAGATGCAGCAAGATAAAAAAAAGAGAGGATGTAGAAATGGTGGTCTCAACCACATGTCTTTAGCCCTTGAACATTATCACCCTAATCAACTATGTAAAAAATCACGAAAAATAAAAATTTTTAAAATAATATAAAAGAAACGATAATTTTTTTTTTAAAAAGCAATCTACTTTCACAAGGATATTTTTTACAAAATCAAGATCAGGACCAGTGGCTATGAAGCGTGCTCGCCCTTGTCACATACCTGAGTGGTGTAAATGAACTCTAGCTAAACACTGTGCCTCCATCCAAGTTCATATTCACTGTGCTTTTGCCCAGATGAACCTGATAATGAGACTGTACAATGTCTTCATGGATATTTAAATTATTTCAAAAGACTAAAATCTCATTCAATAAACATATTCTAAGCGGCCACTGTGTTTCAGAGACAAGTCACGTCATTTAGGAACTAACAATAGAAAAAGGACCAATTCAAACATCTACTTCCTCATACCCAGTAGTAAATGATCAGGACTTTATATAAATACTATGTTACTATTATTCTAGCTCTAAGACTGAAGCAGTTTTGTTCATTCTCGTGTCCCATTTTCCTCCTTAAAGTACTACCGATCCATTACGACCCGGACAGCACGATGCAGCTCTAGCACACCGCAATCATCTTTTACAGCCATGCATCAACTTACACTGCAGTTTTCAGGTGGAACTAGAAGTTGAGTGATCTCGCCACCATGAACACAGAAGATGTGTTTCATCTCTCCAGAAAATATGTCCCAAATGATGACGGAGAAGTCCACACCTCCAGATATCAGGTAGCGCTGGTCATAGCGAGCCGAGACCTGATGTGGATAGAGCAAACAGGTGACTTTGTTCCGATGGCCCCGGAGTGTCCTGTGAGGTGGCCAACCTGTGAAGGAGGTTCAGGATTTAAAACAGGAAAATCAAAGTCTTACAAAGTTTTAACAGGTAAAAGTAAACATGAGTTACCAGGGTGGCTACAAATGTTTTCACTGGCAAAAAGTTTCCAATTTTATCTTTCAAAATTTCAGTGTCCAGTGTACCAGCTACCATGCACAGAGGAATACTGAGCACATGAAACAAGCTAAGCATGATTCAAACATGCTGCAAACAGAAAGTACTCGAAGGATTTTGGAAGATAGTACAAATACCTGCAAATAAAAAACCATTTTCGCCTTATTAGGTTATATAAAATAATTTTCCTTTTTGAGTTACAATTTTAATATAGCTACTATAAAACTGCATATATGATTCATGTTATATTTCCATTGGACAACACTGTCTTAGCAGATTATCCACATTGCTGGCCAAAGAGTTTAGTAATTCAATGAAATAACAATGGATGGAATCATTAATATACATCTAAGAGATAAAATTGGATACTTCTTTATTTAGTCATTGCAATAATTCAGATAGTCAATATTTTCATTAGCTACACACTCTACTCCAGCAATTATATAGCACATGAACAACTACACTGATTTGCTGTATTTGTTAGCAACAGAGTACACTTTTCATCAAGACACTGGAGACATCTGTAACTGGTATACCTCTTCTGAGCATGTGTTCCCCTTGCAACAGCTGTACTATGGCTGTCTGCGTGGCAGGCACAATGACTATGCTTCCATCTTCACGGCCACACACGAGCCGTCCATGGGCTGGAATGTACACACTCGCAGTCACTTTCAGGGGCTCGTTGCTATTGGGAATCACACTCAGCTGATCTATTATTCCAGCAGGACAAGGACTCAGCTTATCAAACGCCTCTTGCAAACTAATAGAAGTTGTCATCTCCAGCTCTGTAGAAGCAAAACATTTCTGGGTGTTAAAAAACCATTTTTTAAATATTAGAATAATGTTGCTTAATTCAAGGGGGCAGTAAAATAAAACTGCCATCAAATATAATTCCCCAGTGACATACATGTGTCACAAATTTGTTATCCAGCAGCTACTATTTGAAATGTGAAATTTGAAAAACCATAAAGTCACTGCAAATAATTGACTATTACCATCCTCACCTTGCTTATCATCTGTGTCTGAGATGTTCCAGATATTTAATCTTCCAGAAGAATCACCCTGAATTAACAGTTTATGGAAATATTCCCTGCGTCCATAGAAGAACCGAGTAACAGGAGGGCATATCAGCAACTGCCAAAAAAATTGTTTTAAACTTTATTTAACTGTGCTTATAATCAAAAATATTTCAAACATTAACATTTCTTTAAACAAAGATGCTAGGCACTGACATCCCAGCTTTTGCGCTTAAAAAGTTCTTATGGTATGATGATTTTACAACGCTTAATCTAATTTTGCGGCATTAAAAAAACATGTAAACTAATATTCAAACCTGGTTTAATATAAATATTTAAAACACTTAAAATTGTATGTATAGTCTTTCTGTATGATTAGTATTTATTCTCTGCTTTATAAAACCTATTTATAGCAATAAAATTGCAATTTATTCAAGTGCCTATTATTAAGTACAGAGCTAAGTCATTTTTTTTTTTTACCAAAAAGGCACTGTGTGTGTGTGCATGTGTGTGTGTGTGGCAGGAAGGGGGTCCCTCCAATTATGAAGGGCAAAATAAGTAAACCATGACAGCTAATGTGCGCACTTCTGGTAAGGTATCTGGAAGCAGGGGCAGGTTAAGAAAGTAGCTGGGACACCAGCAGCCAACACTGCAGCGCATGGGTTTCACCTGTTTCCAATTCCTGATTCCACTCTCCTGTTAAGGCAGACCCTGGATGGCTCAAGGAACTGGGATTCCGACACCCAGAGGAGAGGCCCGGTCCAGCTCTAGGCTTCCTTCCTGGCTGACCTCCAGACACTGTGGTTATCTAGCGAGTCAATCAGTAGATGACAACTTATTCTTCTTCTACCTCTCTTGTTCTTTCCACTTCCTCAAATAATTAAAGAAAAACTGAGGTTTAATGCTGGCCTTGTGGAGCCCCGGATGACAGCATTTCATATGGGTGCTGGTTCAAGTCGCACTGTTCCACTTAATCAGGCTCCCTGCTAAAGTGTTTTGGAAAGCTGCGAAGGACAGCCCACATATTGCTGGACACAAGGAACCACGTGGACAACCAGGACAAAGCTCTCGCCTCCTGCTGCTAGGGCCAATTGGATCTCCTGCCATTGGGGCCGTTTGGAGAATGAACCAGTAGATGGAAGATATCTCTCTCTCTCCAAAATGCCTTTAAAATAGATAATTTTTTAAAGATTTATTTATTTTTATTGGAAAAGCAAACTTACAGCGGATCTTCCATCCGCTTGTTCACTCCCCAAATGGAAGCAATGGAGATGAACCAAATCCAAAGCCAGAAGCCAGGAACCAGGAGCTTTTTCCTGGTCTTCCACAAGGGTGCAGGGTCCTATGGCTTTGGGCCATCCTCTGCTGCCTTCCCAGTCCATAACAGGGAGATGGATCAGAAGTGGAGCAGCCAGGAATGGAGCTGCCACCCATATGGAATGGTAGTAATGCAGGCAGAGTCACTGTTGAGTAACCACTATTTCTTTTTTTTTCTTTCTTTCTTTTTTTTTTTTAATTGTAAAATTAGATATATAGAGAGAGGAGAAGAGAGAGAGAGGAAGATCTTCCATCCGATGATTCATTCCCCATATGACCACAATGGCTGGTGCTGCACAGATCCAAAGCCAGGAGCCAGGAGCTTTTCTGAGTCTCCCACACAGGTGCAGGGTCCCAAAGTCATGGGGCATCCTCAAATGCTTTCCCAGGACACAAGCAGGGAGCTGGATGGGAAATGGAGCTGCTAGGATTAGAACCGGTGCCCATACGGGAATCCTGGCATGTCCAAGGCAAGGACTTTAGCCGCTACACTAAAGTGCCACCACAGCAGGCCCACCACTGATGTTTATTTTTATACAGGCCATTATACCTTTATTTAAATGCAAGCAAGCACCTAGTTTGGAGAAGAGTAGGTAGGATTTAAGCTAAAAGATGAAACAACAAATAGGTTATCAAGAATCTTAGTTGTGCATAGATCCATAAATTCTACATATTCAAAATATTGGCTCTTTGTATTTCTCCCTCTTGATCCACCACTCTGCCTTTTAAATAAATCCATAAAGATTTTTAAAAATTAAAAAAAAAAAAAAGGAAGGAAGGAAGGAAGGAAACAAACTTGATTTCTGGGAAGTACAGCAATGACTTGTTCCAGTAGTGACATATTATCAGCATTAGTGTAGAATTATCTATGCCATTCTAAAATCACCTGTTATGTTTAAAATAAATTTACTGCATGAATATGAATTTTATCAAAAAGTCACTTCTAACATATTTGTAATAATACAGAATGGTAATGTTATTGTATAGGCCATACCATCTATTTTTTTTTCTTTCACTCCTTTCATTCTTTTTTTTTTTTTTTGAATTTTTGAAATAGGTGTTACAATTTCATATAGATGGGATTTCCCCCCAAACTGCCATCCCCCCTCAACAGATTTTCCCCATTTTGCTACAGTGGTATAATCCTTCACAAGGAATTATAATTCCATCAGTCTCTTATTTAAGTGTACCCAAACCACATTATCTAATCCTAAACATTTTTGTAATTATCTACATTAAATGTTTTTAAGAAAACATAGTGCTTTGGGTGGTAGAAATCTTTCAAAAGTCTTGCTAAGAAAGGATATCAATACATACAGTTCAGAAACTTTCCCATGTAAGATTTTCAATTATCAAGTGTGGCTGGAGAATTTTACCTCTTTATCTTTTCGGTCCAAGAGGCTGCACTGTACAGGAGGGACCAGATGTTCCACTGCTTTGCCCACGTCACTGCGGAATGAATCACTGGCTGGAAGGCAACTGAAAATGGGAAAGTACAACATTCAATGCAAACACTAACATGACATATCATTCTATATGATGAACGTTGTTTTTTTTTGACAAATGGACAAAAGGAAGATTTTTAAGAATACAGTTAATCTAACTACAGACATGAAGTGAAAACATTTTTACTACCAGAAAAATCATTCAAATAGAGATCCATCGATTTTCTGTACTGAGAAGTTCAATCAGGGGGCAGCACTGTAGCACAGCAAGTCAAGCCACTGCTTGCAATTGCCAGTCCCTCCTATCAATGCGAGTTCAATCCTGCTTGCTCCACTTGTAATCCAGCTGCCTGCTAGTGTTCCTGAGAAAGCAATAGAAGATGACCCAAGCACTGGGATCCCGATACCCACATGGGAGTCCTAGATAAAGTTCCAGGCTTCTGACTCTGTCATTTCGCCCTCAATCCAGCCACCGGGGTCATATGGGAAGTGAAACAGCAGAAAGAAGATCTCTTTCTCCGTCTCTCTCTTCCTCATCCCCATAATTCTGCCTTCCAAATACATTACATAAAATATCTTTCAAATAAAGTTAAATTAGATTTCTAAGTGTATTCAGAAGTTCTAAAGTCTTCTATATAAATTACTTACATAATCTAGATTTTCATACTTTCAGATTACGTATTAAATTTTTTATTTGTTTATTTTTATTGGAAAGGCAGATTTACAGAGAGAAATACAGAAAAGATATTTCATCCACTGGTTCACTCTCCAAATGGCCGCAATAGCTGGAGCTGAGTTAATCCAAAGCCAGGAGCCAGCAGCTTCTTCTGGGTCTTCCACATGGGTGCAGGGTCCCAAGGCTTTTTTTCTTCACTGCGTTTCCAGGCTACAAGCAGGGACTAGACAGGAAGTGGAGCAGCCAGGATTAAAACCTATACCCATACGGGATTCTGGCATCGACAAGGTTAGATTTAGCCAATTGAGCCATTGTGCTGGGCCCTACATACCAAATTTTGAATATTTCACTTACGACTGAAGTCCTAATGTTTTATTTATTGCATACCTGGCAGGTAGTTTGTAAATATAACTCAGCCCATTTTCAGTCCAGATAATGACTTTATCTGCTGACACAAAATCCCCTCCGGTCAACGTCTGCCCATTTTCACTGGGGCCTGAACACAACAGGGAATAGTCCCCAGCATCAAACACCTGCAGGGAATAAAAAAGTCACAATCTACACCATGCTGAGGTCATTTACACAAGAGACAGACATCGCCATGTGAATAAAGCTTTGGAAATAAAAAGCACACTTAGGAACTCGTTGACGGTGCTTAAGGGTAAATTCCTCATGTGTAGGCATTTCGTCAGTGAACCCGAGTAGTAGGTCAGGTTCAAAAGCAAAAAGCACCCGCTGTGTGACGCGCCCCCCCCCCCCCCCCCCCCCCCCGCCAGCTGTGTGACGCCCCCCTGGCCAGTAAGCAGCCAGCTGAGTGACGCCCCCCTGGCCAGTGAGCAGCCAGCTGCATGACGCACCCCGGCCAGTGAGCAGGCTGTGACTATCAGAGCAGGGGTGTCCCCCATCCCAGGAACAGGGATCCTCTGTCTTTCTTTCGTGGAATGAAAAAGGAGCGGCCAGGGCTGCGACATGGTGGGTTGGTGACGGTCCCAGACACTCCACTTCCAATACAGCTGCCTGCTCATGCACAAGCAAAGGCAGCAGAAAAAGGCCCAAGTGCTGTGGCGCCTGTGAGCCACACAGAAGACTCAGATGAAGTTCCTAACCCTGATTTCAGTCTGGCCTGCTCCCACTTAGCACAGCCACTTAGGGAGCGAACCAGTAGATGGGAGAGCTAACAGACACTCTCTCTATCCCTCTCTCTCCCTATTATTCTGCCTTTTAAACAAACAAACAAATCGTTCCAAAATAAAGAAGCACTCTGTTGACAATGGGAAGTAACAAAGAATCAACCTATGGAAGTCAGGCTTGGAACTCCTGTTTGATTTTTGTATCCAATAGTAATTCTAGCAGTAAACTGATATTGGAATATATACTGATTAAAGAAAACGTATCTTGCTTTACCCTAGTTCATTAACATCCTAATAGACCATAAATACGAAGTCAAAAGAGTCCGTTTCAGTACTTAGTAATTCTCACAAATACTTGTCAATGTTAAATCTTCATCATGTCATACAGCCCTTAGCATCACCACAAGAAGAAAACAGGCAAGCATTGCTACTCCCTGTACCAGACAGGAAACTAGCCTAAGGTATACAGCTTAGAGTAAACGTCTTATCATTCCTAACAGAATTGTCTAACACTTTCAATATAGACATTCTATAATTCTTAGAAATGTTTCCCAAGAGGAATAGGGAATTCCACAATAGCCTAATGTTTTTGTTTTGCTCTCCTCTAAAGAAAATAATGCTGCTTGGGCAGAGCCTGGGAGTAAGAACAAATCCTACCTGAATCTACCACAATTTTCCATAATATTTCCTACATCCTAACTCTACCATCACAATAACAGGCAAGAAAACCCACAAAAGAATCATGGAGACCAATTCTACCAAATACTAAAACAAACCATAAAGCTACAGAAGTTAAAATAACGAGGTATTAATACATGAATAGATAGAAAGTCTGGATACAGAATCCAATAAAATAGGATTACAGCATATTGCCAAGGCCCAAGAACAAACAGGTGAATTATTCAATGAATGGTATCTCTCCCATAAAAACACATGTTACAATTTATGTAAAACAAATTCCTGATTAAAGATTCCCAGGTATGAAAAAAATCACGAAGCAGGGAAAAATGGCTACTCATTTTTATTGTCTGAAATGTCAGCATGTGGTAGGATGTTTTAGAAATCACAAAATAATATCAAATACTTGGACTTTATTAAACTTGAAAAAGTCACACACGACAGTAAATGTTTGCAGAGTGCATTCTGATGAGCTGCAGGACTGTCTCGATGTTATTCTGCCTGAGCTGTGACCCTGTCATTCCACCACTATTTGTACTGCCTGAGTCAAGCCTCATATCCCTCAGTGCCTCTGCTGCCCCACCTGCAAATGGGACATTCCTGCCACGGCAGGAAGTTACCAGGATGGCTCGACTTTCTCCAGGGTTGGCCACTTGCATCCACAGGCAATGTGGAGGGCAGGCTGGGCTATGTGACAGTTTCTAGATGATGTAACAGAGCACAGGTGATGAGAACTCAGTTCCCAGGATCAGGTGGGTCTTGAAGACAGCTTGTCTAGTGAGCTTACTCTGAAGGATAGTTCCTGCGTCATGATCTACTCCATGGACCCACCCGCAGGACAAGAAACTAATGTCTGCAGCCGACAGTCAGGAAGCGGCCTCAGAGCTGTGGATGGCCAAAGAGGGGAATTTGGAACTGGACCTTCCCAGAGTTAAGCCTGGAGTCAAGAGCAAGGTCCCTACAGTCACTTTTTCCCTGGGAAAGACCTTGACCCAGAGGTACTCAGATGAGCTATGTCAAAGAAACTTAGTGATAAAGCAAGTTTGCTTATTGTAAACTGCTTGATTTTGGGATAATTTATTCTAGTGGATTAAAAAACATACCTCCTCTTGGAGTGTTGGGAGGATTAAAAGCAATAACAGGTAAAAAGCTTTACAAAACAACTGCTAGTTGCTTTTAAAATAAAGCAAGTACTCAAAACACACTGGCTCATTTTCTATTGTATGCATATGAAAACTGAGCAAGGAAGGATCGTATCTTCCTTAAATAATCATCTTTGAAGTGATAGTGGAAGATTTTTTCAACTCTAAGAAGCCAGAAAACAAGTTAACTGGATTTAGTAACAGCCTGCCAAAATGCCCAACCTGCAGAATACGACAGTGTTTGTATTGTGCTAAGATGATGGCTAAAACAGCAACAAGAAGCTGAAAGTAAGAACAATAAAATACAGTCGGTAACTAAACCGTTCCAAGAACCCAAACAAACACAATGCTGAGCCAACTCTCCAATGTTCAGAAAATGGGATCCAAACCAGATATTAAAATTACTAAAATAATGTTGTATCCATGGCTGCCTTAGAATTCTTTTTTAAAGACCTTCACTGCTGTCGTGAAGGACACACTCATGACTTGTGCAGCTAACTTACCCTCCAGTATTTGGAACACACAACCAACAATGAGCTTTGTGTGAACGCGCAGAAGGAGATGCTTTGGCAGTTCTGACAATAAATAGGTTTAGATTCCTCCTCAAATATTGGCTCAGTATCCTGAAAGGAGAAAGATTTGTGAAATTCAAGCAACAGCTTAGCTACCACTTAAAATTGTTACACAAAATGAAATCAAGGCATCCCTGGATGTCTGCATCATTGTAGCCCCTCAGGTAAGATTCAGGGTAGGAAGGAGTTCAAACACACCCTAAGGACAGCTGAATATGAGTGTCACAGCTACACAGCTCTCCCAAATTTAAGCCTGATTCATTCTGGCAATATGAGCTGAAAAAGCATTGTGTTAATCCTAAGGTTGGTAGTGATATGTGTTTTTGTTAAAAAGAAAAAAAAAAGGAAACAGAAAAAACTGATTAGTTCATCCAGTTTCTCCCAAATTAGATGTGTAACCTAGTTTTCCTAGTAGGAAACAATGGCATTATCTGAAAATTTCTGTGCCATTCTTGCTAACTGACATGGAACAAGAGGGCACAGTGCAGTGGCTTAATGGGTAACTCCTCCCCTTGCAAGTACCGGGATCCCATTTGGGTGCCGGTTTATGCCCCACTTCCCATTCAGATCCCTGCTTGTGACCTGGGAAAGCCGTAGAGAATGGCCCCTAAGCCTTGGGACCCTGCACCTGTGTGGGAGACCTAGAGGAATCTCCTGACTTCAGATTGGCTCAGAGCTTGCCATTGCTGCCATTTGGGGAGTGAACCAGCAGATAGAAGATCTTTCTGTCTCTCCTTCTTTCCATAAATCTGATTTGCCTTTCCAATAAAAACAAACAATTTTTTTTAACAAACAAGTCTTAAAAAGAAAGGAAAGGAACAAGAAAATTAAGCCCTCCCATCTGTGTTGGTGAACTAAAGACAGCTATACATACTTGCGGTGCTGGCTTGCTTTACTTCCTTTTCACTAAGACCAATTACCTTCTAACCTTTCATATAGACAGAAACAGGTATGTAAACTATCTCTTTATGTTTCTCTACTTCATTTCCTATGCAGTATTTTTCCCTAGATCAGATCCTTGAGAGAGCAATTGTTTCCATTGCTCATGAGCAAACAATGTGCTCTCACAGACCACCTATAGGGAATTTCTGTTACTACTCTATGAGATCCCAAAACAATTTTGCTTTTCTCTTCCTAGGACTAAAAAAAGCAAAGGAAAAAGAAAAGTGAAGGAGCAAATCATGACTAAAACGTTAAACTGTTAAAATAAAACTGTCCCGCCTCACCTGCATGCCACCAGCATCAGAAGTCACGATCCACACCTTCAGGATGCCTGTCACCGAGAGTGCCACTACAGTGTCCTCTAGGCCAAGAAGACACAAGAAGCCCGAGTTACAAACAGAACAGGCTTGCTTGCTGAATATATTAAGATGGTTTGCTTTAATGAGATGAAATAACAGCATGTTGCACATATGTAAATCTCTACTTCTCAATTCAGAAATCAGATTTTTAAGCCACCTCCATCTATAGCTTTTGTGATAACCTTTGTATCACACCAGTACAGATGTGTGTCACACTGGGTTCTGTAAGCCATTTGACCAAATTCTTTGAATCCAAAGGGGCAGGAACAAATCAGTCAGAAGCCAAGTGGTCAACAGCACAGGTAACATGAGCTGGGATATCGTGTGGACAACTACACAAGGGTGAAAGAGACAGTCTTGGCCAGTGAGCCCCCAACCCCATCTCCAGGTGGACACTAACAGAAATGAATTGAATCAGAGGAAACTAAGCTGGTATCTGCCGCAAATTTAAGATCCTGCTTTCGTGGGACAGAAATACCCACACCTTTCAGGGTCATAGAAGTCTTCCGTTTGGATTGTTGTGTGAGAGACGGTAGGAGAAAAAATTAGGCTTTCCAACACAACATGATAAAAAACCTACACTCATACGCTTGGGTCAAGGGAGCAGTCTCAACACCACACTTATGAGAACAAGAGCATGCACTCGAGAACACGAACATTACAGAGCTCCGGAGTGAAGAGAACACACGTTAAAATCAAAGAATCATCTTCTTCACTGATTGACCAACGAGCTGTGGACAACTAAACTAACTTATCTTAAATCCAATATGCTTATCATAGAAATGAATAACAGCAGTGTTATGAAAGTTAAGGCATTCCACTGGGACATCTCTCAGCACATGTTAAATCCTCAATAAAGTTTAGTTACCACAGCTGTTAAATGAACCTGCAGAAGGCTGGCGTAGTGGTGTAGCCAGCTAAGTCAACGTTTCTGACCCCACAAGTCACAGCTACTCTGATTCTCAGCCAGCTTGCTGCTGATGCCCTTGGGAAGGCAATGGGCCTCAGCTAGCCATGAGGAAACCTGGGATGGAATTCCCAGCTCCCGGCCTTGGTCTGGGCCAGCCTTTGACTGCAGCAGCAATTTGGGAAGTGAACCAGTGGATGCAAGATCTCTGCCTCGGAGCAGAGGATGACATGCCCAAATGCACATGGAGGAGGGGCAGTCCACTGGGACTTGTAGAGGGCGTCTGGTACCACAGAATAGGAAAGAGAATAACACATATCGGACAACTAACCCAGCCAAGCATGGACAGCAAATATCTGGGCAAATGGAGACTCTAAGCTGTACTACGTCAGCCAATGGACCTTGGAAGGATTTTCTCATCCTTGGATTGGTGAGACTGACAGCATTTCAGAACTACTGAAACCACTTGAGCAGAACTCTCCGAACATGCTCCCCATCAAGGACCCTGGCATGATATTGGGTAGCCATTCCCCATCCCAGTGTACTGAGGTGGCTGAAGGCTGGATGCAGCTTCTCCTCTTATCTGCTCCCTTCCCCTAAAGATAAGAGGAAGAAAAAGAAAATTGGGAATCAATGGTCTCACCTCCTTTCCCCTAGCCCTCGACCCTTCCAATCCTTATCAACTATGTAAACATCATCAAAAATTAAAATTATAAAAAAGATCTCTGTCTCTCCTTCTCTCTGCTACTTGGTCTTTCCAATAAACAAGTTTTTAAAAACAAACAAATGGAACAAGTATCCCACAAGTCAACCCCTTAGGAAGCATGGAGAATCCTTCCTGTCATTGCTTTAGTTAGTTTTGAGCTGTACTCCTCTCACCTAGGCTACTATTCTAACCTTCTAACTCATTGTTCCCATTTAAACCATTTCCAATAACGCCACCAAGGTAATGTCTAAAAATGTAAGCCCTTTCAAGCATTCTCACCAGGACTGCCCAGTATCTACAAAGGGATGCAACATACACCTAAGCTTACTGGCTGTTGGAATAAATAAAATTTGATCAGAACATAGGTTCATTCAATTTCGCATTGCTCATGAATGCTTTTGTGCTATAACAGCGGATACATGTAGTTGAAACACAGACCATAGGGCCTGCAGAACCTAACCTATTTACTATCTAGCTCTTTAGAGTACAAGTCTACCATATGAGACTACAGGGGAAATCCAATTCCCATAGTGAACACGGAAGAGCTTCATGAGCTGCCCCGACAACTCTGCTGGTCTCACATCCTGCCACTACTCCCCTCAAACTTTACATGCCAGAGAAAGAAAATGTTGTTTCTTATATATAAGTAGATTTGTTTTTATGGTTTATACGTTCATACAGACCTTTCCTCTACCAGAAACAACTTGATCCCAAGGTGTGGCTGACAAACTCCTCCACACCTGACACATGCCGAAACAGCTACGTCTGAGCCGGAAACCTTCCTATCGCACTTAGACCTCTGTGCTGCCACCTTCTCAGAATCCTCACTCCACACTGCCTGCTTTGCACCTCAAATGATTTACCTACCATTCTCCCTTGCCAGAATTCATTTCTCTTCATTTCTAACTCTAGCAGGTTACAAAACAAAGCTCCCATAGAATTGAAGGCAGCAGCCTGACACAGCGGTTTGAGTCACAGCCCCATAATCCGTGGGGTCGCCAGAGTCCGTGTGGCAAGCAGGCACAGCTACCACGTGACCTCAGGCAAAGGCTCTCCCACACTCAACCTCACCAGTCTCCTCTCTTTATATGACAGCAGGTACTGCCAACAGAACCTCCCCCACATGTCTGATAGTGGTGATGGAGAGGGGTGGTTGTCAATGGTAAGGCTTTATCGAAAAACCAAATCATGACATCACTTAGCAGAAAAAAAAAAAAGAATGCTTCTAAAAAAGCTTACACTCTTTTCATACATTCAATGTTGGGCATTATTCTCAAAAAATTTACTTAGGCTCTCGTACTTGTTATATAAAGATTTTAAGAGAAATGAAGAAAAGATTAGCAACGTTATTATCATCTATCAAATACTTACCAACAATTCCAATAAATTTAAGTAAGTATAATCTCCTTGCTTTTCATTATTTCCACAGGAAATGAAATCAAGTCCTGTGTCTCCTGAGCAAGTGACACATTCAAGCTCCAGAGACACTCAATTGAGACTGCAGTTCAACCTCAGCACACCTCGTAGTGATAATACCCTTCGCTTTCCCAGGAAATCACCCCACACTCTCAGACTACCCAAAGCTGCCGAACTGTACCACAGAAGACAGACAGTCCAATTTACTAATCTTAACTCAAAGTCTCTTCAGAACAGGCGGAGATAGACCATAGATTATTGGTGTGCCTACCACTTTAACCAGAAGAGAATAACTAGAGTTATTAAAGTAAGATAAAGTATAGAACTTTGCAGAAAATCAACATTAAGTCATGGTGCTGAAGTGCCTAACGGGTTTTATACACTGACCTTGTGTTCGGTGGGACCGAATAATACTCATGGAGCTAATCCAATCAGGTGAGATCTTTGACACCAAGGAGTAGAGCACCTCAAGGCTGGTCGCATCTATAACAAGGATTTCAGGGTAATGTCCGTGGCATAAAAGCCTTCCTTCACGCTGGTTTCCAACAGAGAATTGGTAGAACTGAATTTACACCCAAAGGAAAAAGATTGGTAAGTGTTCTCCATCAGTTTGGAAATTTGATTTCTATGTATCCATCAAGTCCACAATGATATTCTCCTAAAATTCAATTTCTACAGTAAACTCTGTAGTACATATTGCACATATGTATATGCAAGCATTAAACATGTGTGCTGCAGTCACTAAGAACTCCCCTACAGCAGGATGTTCTATTAGAACCACCCGCCCTCGGGCCTGCCACCTTTCAATTCAAAGTTATACTTCCAAGCAACCTCTGGCCATTAACTGGCTTCTAAGAAAATTGGACACTGGAAAAAGAAGGTGCCCTGAATGGAGAATCAAGTTTTCCAAACATTAATTTAACAAATTGGCTTTTCCTTGGGATTTCAGGATGTGTCCGCATCACCAAGGTTTAGCATCTGTGAATATAAAAAACACCCTATTTTTGGAGCTAATAGAATGAAGATGACATAGCAAACCACCACCATGCCAGCAAAATCTGCCAACAAACATCTTCTCTTTAGAGATGTCTGCTACCTGAAATTCAGAAGGCCTTCTACCGGACCTAACTAACAAATCTAGAATTTTTTTCTAATATGGAAGATAAACATTTTAATATAAAAAGAAAATTCATAGTCAAAATATTTAAATCCAGCGATTTAAGATACTTCATAATTATTTGATGAAAATCAATAAAATCAATGAATCTACATTGGTTTATTTTCTCTCCACAAACTTTGGTGATTCTTTATATGCAAAAAATAAATAATACATGCCTTTTAACAAGTCCTAACAGCATTGAAGAAGTGAATTTCACAAGGCCCTTAAGAACAAGGAATCAGCAAATGACCCACATCACACTAACCACCATCTCCCCACACACACGTTTCTTTGATTTTTTAATTTGCTACCATAGAGGCTTTCTTTCTTAATGAGTAATTCTGTGTGTTTTAAAGTAAGCAGCATGATTGAAGAGAAAATACAGTCTGTGGAGTCCAGCAAACCTGCTTTGGGACAAGCATGCCAGGCCTGATTCACAATGAGACTGAGCAGCTCATATAACTCTCTCAGCCTCAATTTCCTTCTGTGTAAAAAGACACACTGACACCTAATTCATAAGTATGTGGGGAGACTAAATGAAACACAATACAAGAAATAACCTATATAATACTTGATAAACGTGAGTTCTCTTTCCTTTCCCCTTCCATTAAGAACATAACTCGTGGTCCAGCTTTCTATGTCTCATAAATTTGTTAACACAGGAAACAATAAAGATACTGAAGCATTGAGAAGGTGACAGGACAAAGTAAGAAGAATCACCAGGAACAAAACTCAGGAACTGCAAATTCTATGCAACAGTCCACATATGAAGTCAGGCATAATAAGTGATCATTTCTTCTAAAAGGTTGGAGGGTCTTAAAGGGAAAACCACACTAACAACAACAACAAAATACAGAGCAAAATACAGGTGAATTTACGTCAGCCAGGAATGGAATCATAATGTCTTTAATCAGAGAGAACTCCATTATTCAGGGTCAATATCACTTAACCAAACAGTGAAGAGGCCTGAGGTGGGCAGCCAGGCTAGCCCGCACTAGCAGAAGCAGCAGAGGTCCCTGGTCCCTGGTTCCTTCTCAATCTTTTCTGATTAGACATCCCTACTTTATTAACCTTCCTCACTGCACTATCTTACAGGGAATCCTGTTCTTACTCCAACGCTAATCATCATGTCCTACTACCCCTCCCCATCATTTTCCAAATCTATACAGGCTCAATGTTTTTAAAAGTTTTAAAACATATATCTGTAATGATTATGCTTAGCCTCAGAAATAGGACACCAACCTGTATGCCAGTATGTGTGCAGGCTAACTTTGTAAACTCAATACATCTGCCATCATTCACATCCCAGAGGCACATCTCTCTATAAAAGAAAAATACAATAAACTTAGTCTCTGATTTTCAAATGCACTGTTCAATTTTTTCACAGTTGCTGAAAGTTAATATTCCATTATTTTTCCATGGTCATTACTGCTGCTTGTCAAGACAGCCAATCTTCGCACCCACAATCGTAAGCCACCCTCCCACCAATAAACGCCCTTCCTGGGTCCATAAACAGCAGCGTACTGCCTCTTATTTTATTTATTTTATTTTATTTATTTTCGGTTGGTGTAATTCAGTAACCAGCTGACATAGGGCCTGGTAGGGATTACTGCGGGTCGCCCCAACTAGGCTGCAGCTCCCACTGGTTTGCATGAGGGCCAAGAATGTGGTGGGCAGGATGATCAGGCTTGGTCCCAGTATTCATTGGTTTGGGTAGAAGACTGTGTTTGAGACAGAACTGACCCAGCAATTGCAATCACCAGCATATGCATAAGCTGATTTGGGGGACGAATGTGCCAGACCTCGTATTAGCAAGCACATGCAAGAATCAGGTCTGGGAACGTCTCAGATGATGTTTCTTTGGGGATCCCCCCAACTGAACCACTGGACTCAGAACTCCAGTCATGGAGAGAATTGTAGGTTCCATGGTTTGACCACAGAGTATATATGTCAGAGCTGGCTGGGCCTCCTCAGTGGCTCAGATGGAGCAGTAGACAGCATATCCAGGTGCACATGGAGAATACGGCAGTACAGTGGAGTCTGCAAAGGACACCTTGTACCATAACAGAGGACGGAGTTCAGAACAAATGGATCAACAACCCCACACAAGTATTGATAGTGAATATCTGGGCAAACAGAGACTCTAAAGTGGACTGTGTCAACTGGTGGATTCAGGAGAGATTTCATCATGCTTGGAGTGGTAAAAGTGGCAGTAATTCAGAACTGCTTAACTATCAAAACCTCTTGAGCATGACCCTTGGAGCTCGCCCCACATCAGGGACCCTGGGTTGCTGTCAGGTGGCTGTCCTCCATCCCAGCATACAGAGGTGTTTGGGAGGCTGGATGTGGCTTCTTTCCTATCTCCCTGTTTCTCCCACTTACAGGAAGGAAAGAAAAGAGAGTGAGACAAGAAAGAGAATATAGAAATAATGGTCTCACCCACCTTTCTGTAGCCCTTGATCCTTATTACCCTAATTAACTATGTAAAATTTTTTTAAAAAAGAAGAAATCCATTCTGGATCCCTTAACTAGTGTTCAATAAGTTACTGACATCTAAAGCAAGCTACCACCTGAGACTTAGAAACATGCAGAGTTCTGCTAGTAAAGTTGACAAACATCACTGTCACTGCGTGAACTTTTGCATGGCTAGCCTGGTATCATTTTTTTCTTTTAAATCTCAAGGTGTGGTCAATGCTTTGACACGCAGGCTAAGCCTCTGATGCACAGAGCCAGCATCCCAGATGGACACTGGTGTAAGTCCTGGTTACTCAGTTTCTGATCCAGCTCCCTTCTTATGGCCTGGAAAAGCAGAGAAGGACCACTCAAGTCCTTGGGCTCCTGCGCCTGTGTGGGGCCTGGGAGAGGCTCTTAGTACCTGGTTTCAGAATGGCTCAGTTCTGGCTGTTGGGGATATTTGCAGAGTGACTCTTTCTCTCTCCTTCTCTCTGCCTTTCAAATAATAATTAAAACTTAAAAAAAAAACTCAAAGCAGTCTGCTGACTATAATAAAGCACCATGGGGATTAAAAACCCACTTTAACTTTTTTGCAATTCGAGTTTCTCAAAAGAAAAACAAAGGACATAATCACAAATGACAATGCAAGTACTATAAAATCATTAATAGTGATAAAACTCACACCCTTAAAATGACTGCAAGCATCTTTCTAGTTTTAGACAATGGGAAATATTTTTTAGAAAATACCCAAAAGTTAAAAAATAAATAAATAAATCAACCTCCCTAGTTACTAAAACACTGATACTATTTACAGAAAAGTCCCAGGAAGACACTTACCCACTCTCAGATGCACTCACAATATACTGCTTTTCACTGGAAGCACAGGCTTTGGACAAGCAAGTGATTGAAGCTGTATGACCAAATAACAGAGCTCGAGGATTAACCTAGAAATGCAAAAACATCCTGCTGTAAGTTTTAAAAAAAAAAAAGTTTTAACATTTATTTATTTATCTGAAAGAGAGTTACAGATTCCAGCTGAACTATCTCATCTGTCTGGTCAATTCTTTACTCCTATTCTCTCAGAGTTTCATTGCAAAGCTACTCTGAAACCAGGAGCTTCTTCTGGGTCTCCCACGCAGCTGTGGAATCCCAAAGCTTTGGGCCATACTCTGCTGCTTTCCTAGGCGATAAGCAGTGAGCTGGATGGGAAGTGGAGAAGCTAGGACACAAACCAGTGCCCATATGGGATCCTGGACATGCAAGGTGAGGATTTAACCATTGAACCATCATGCCAGGCCTTTCTCTCTCTCTCTTTTTCTCTCTCTCTCTCTCTCTTTCTCTTTCCCTTTCTCTCTCTCTCTGTTTCCAGAGATCTTCCACTGGTTGGTTCACTCTGCAAATGTCCACAATACCCAGAAGCCTGGGTCAACCATGGACTGCCACATTGTTGGTGGGGACCAGGCTACTGAAACCATCTATCTTCTGCTGCCTTTCCAGGTGCACATTAGCAGGAAGCTGCAGGAAAAACAGAGCGAAGACTGGAACAAGGCCTCAGAGCATCATTTTAACTACTGTACGAACTTATACCTGTAGGCTTTGACATCACATTTGAAATTCGACAAAGACAGCAGAAGTCAACTCTGATGAACATGAAAGCTAATTAGCCTGCATATCACCCATTTTTGTCAAAACATATTCTATAGAAAAATATTTTTTGCCCAAGCATTATTATGAGACTACATTCTTTTTTAATAAATAGCTTCTTACATTCAAAATGTCCAACAGGCATCTGAAATACTTACTTCCAACTCTCCTGAAAGGTCCCAGAGACATATCTGCCCATCATGGCATCCTGTTACAATTGTGGACCCATCTTCTGTTAAGAGTATCGCTGAGATACAATGTGTTGGTGCTTTGCGGCCCCACAGAACAATGGGTAAAACGAGACTGTTTCCTGCCATTGTGTTTTCAAACCTGAAAATGTTAAAAGTATAATGTCAGATGTTACACTATTTCTCTCTAAAACATGTATACAATTTTATTTTGGAGACAACCTATATAGTTTGAAAATTAGTTCATATTCCTAGTAGTACATTTTAGCCACTTAAGCATCTTTTCAAATGTTTTTTTCAAATCTTTTTACTTTCTAATAAAGTCAAATCATTGATTCATCATAACCTCTCAGGTTTAGGAGCTTAAAAATACAACACAGGAGTTCACTGTAGGCTTTTGCATTTATATTCATACAACTTATAAAACACTATTATGCCTATTGCTTCACTTAAAATCCATTCACCAAATTCACGAAACTGTCTTTGGAGGCTGCTGGATAGGAATCGAGGCTCAAACGTATCACTGTTTTAGGGGACACAGAACTAGCAAGTCAGAGAACCCAAATGCAAATCCTGACCTCCAATGCCAAGTTCTGTGCCTAATCAAAAAAACGTCAAACATGAACACTCATCGCAGAAAATCCCAGGACACAGAGGCTGCACCATGGCCAGCAGAGGCTTGATTCTGAAGCACTTCCCGAGAGCCAGGCTGCTTCTGAACACACAACGTTTAGAATTTACTAACACACACCCTGTCGGGTCCTCCTTGCCACAAAGCCTCACTAGTCCATACTTCCCCTTCACTAAGTGGCGACTGACAACACGCAAACCAGAAGCCAGGCTGCCTAGTGCCAGAGCCAGTGGCTTCTCACACTCTGCTAATGCCACAAGGGAGGTCTCCAAGCTGGAAACAAACAGCAATGACCCAGAGAAATTTAGTACTGTTTTTACAGTATACTGAACATTAATTCAAAAAGATAGTATGCTCATTGAGAAACCCGTTAAACCATACTCACTCCCAAAACACTAGGACTGCAGATCACAAATGTCTTAAACTCTGAAATTTCAGGGAAAGGGAACTTCCTAGGAAATTAATTTCTGACATAGTCAAAGAGGACTCCAGAAAATATTTACAGGCTAGAAGGTCAGAGATGGTCTGATAATAGTATCAAGAAGAGTTCTAGGGGCTGGTGCCAAGGTGAGGTGGGTAAAGCCTCATGGGAAATAGGGGTGGGACTCCTGGGTCCTAGCTTCTTGCCTGGGCCAATCCTGGCCATTGTAGCATTTACACAATGAGCCCAGAGTTCAATGTAACATACCTCTCCCTCTCTCTAATGCAGCCTTTCAAATAAATAAATTCTGAAAGCACAAAAATTGCTTCAAATTAAATTCTGATATCTTAGTAACAACAATCAATATACACTTTAGACCAGTATTTCCCAAGCTTCTATTTTGTCCGTATACAACTATAGGTATAGGATATTTCACCTGAGAATAAAACAGACACAATTCCACAGTGCAGTGGGATCGCTTACATGCAATCAACTACCACCTATCATACAGAAGTCACAAAAACATGGAAACACAAAAGACGGATTCTCCCTTATTAGATTACCCTGAGTCCAGAAAGAATTTCTATAAGAAATTCTTACATAAATAACATGTTCAAAGTCCCAGAGATAACATCTCATTTATTTCTGGACAGTGACAATAAGCAGAGGCAATTATAGAGTAAAAATGCAGAATGGCGAGACAAGAACCATTAGGACAACATACAGGAGCAGGTAAACTACCATCTTCATGAGTTCATACTTCACCCTGACAGCCTGAGAAGCAGGCCGAAGTGCTTACACTGGAATTCGCTTTTCCAGAAAGATCACCCTTACTGGAGCATAACAGGGAGTGAGCAAAGCAGGCTGAGGACCAGAGGAGCTACTGCGGCATGGCCAGCGGCAGATAACAATTCTCCAACTTATCTCACTCTCTCTTACTTACTTCTGGGCTTCTCTTTTTAGCAGCTATCTTCCCTACTTTAAGCTCCCTGAAAACAAGAACCACATTTTAGGTATTCATCATTAGTACAGTACTAAGCACAGTGTCTGCCACATAGGATTTAGTCAACAAAATGGATCGTAACAAGACATTAGTGTTGAAAAAATAATAACAATATGAATATGATGGCAATTAGGACTTAGGGTTCAACAAGCTGATAATACAACATGCCTTTTGAACAGGGTTTACACAGAGGTCTTCTGACAAAAATAAAATGAAGAAATATTGTTAAAGATAGTTTTCTAACTGAAGGATGGACATGTCCCATGGAAGAATCAGTTCAAGACGCAGCTGCTCCACTTTCAATTCAGACCCGTGCTAATGTGCCTGGGGAAGCAGCACAGGAAGGCCCATGTGCTCAGACCCTTGCACTCATGCAGGAGATTGGAAGAAGCTTCAGACTCCTGGCTTCAACCTGCCCAACTCAGGCCACTGAAACCATTTGGGAAGCGAACTATTGAATGGAAGATTCTCTCTCTCGTCCCCACCTCTGCCATCCCTCTGTCTCTTCCCCTCTGTGTGTAACTCTCACTTACAAATAAATAATAAATCCTAACCAAAAAAAAAAAAAAGTGAATGATACTGTAAGGGTAGGGGCCTAAGAGGCCACAGTAAGAAAGCTGTGATCTGCAAGCCAGTGAGCCGGCACCCAGAACAAACCCTCTGCACCTTCAGCTGGGAATTCTAGCCGCCTCAAGAGCAGGAAAGAATAATCCTTTGTCCAAGCCATGGAGTGTGTGATATCTACTAAGCTAGCTAGGCAGATTAAAACAGCTGTCACGGATCCTCAGCTTCTTCGGTTCTAGAACAATCTACCTCCTTTTATCCATAGTAAATCGAAGAAACAAAAAAAAATGTAGATGCTCCACCTGTTGCTTTTTATGATCTTTATGTCATTTGTTTTATTCCTCCATCACTCGTTTTTCTTATAAGCTAGAAGTTGGATCTATAGGCATCATTAAGTTCCAGTCAACACTTTTGGCAGTAATATTCCATAGGTGATATTTGTACACTTCATGCTGTATCACCAAAGGAAGTGTCTGATGTCACACTGTCCTGTTATCAGTGAAGTCACCTCTGGCAAGCTGAATAACCAGACTGAATAACCAGCTGGTATTAACCAGACCACCAGATCGTTCCACTGCAACTGTATGTTTTTCCCTTTGAAGTTATCAATAAACAATGGAGCAACACTCATAGAAGACCTGATGGCTACCCAGGGCACTGGAGGTGAGAGGCTGGATCTGCTCCAGACCCATCATGTCTCCTAGGCTTCAGTCCAGAACGGGAGGGACTACAGGAGCCAGTTAAGTCACCTTACATAATTGGGACATAAACAGCCCTTTTGCCAGCCCACATGTCTAGAGGAGTATAAAACTCCTGGACACATATCTCAGCTGCCCTTTTCACCTCCATCTTCCTTCCACTGTGCACAAAGGAGGCCCAGGAGCGGATTTTCCAATAAAGCTTCTGTTAAAACTATGGATAACCTGCTGATATTATTCCACCAGTGGGCGGGCGGGCGGTGGCCATCATCTAACATTTGGTAACAAAACCTGGGAAGGGGTACAAGGGCTCCCTGAACTGGTTGAGCTCCTCCTTCCTTTTCCCACCTCTGAGCCACCAGCCCCAAGGCTTTTGACCACTGCAAATCAACAGATGTGAGGTAAACCCCTCTGCTCTGCTCCTCCTGTCCCGAAAAGTTCTTACCAACCTCCCGCAGACCTTCCAAATCGTGTACACGAGGTCTGCTTGTCCTGAGCCCTCAGCGAGACAGGGGATGCCCTGGTCATTGACTGGCTCCCACTGATCTAGGGCCCTCAGTGGGGCGTGAGAGGTTCCCCCTACTGACTGGCCCTCCTTAACAGCGATCCAGGTTCCCCACTAGTCTTAATTTCAAAGTGGGGATCCCTTCTTTGTGTTTAGATTAGCAGCGAGATACTTTACCAGGACTGATGGGTAATAAAATGCCCTGAGTCCACGACTCTTAAACCTCCTTAGAGTGTTTACTGGCCAATTTTAAAGCTCTGGGTCTAGGCCAGGACTTACGCTGAAAATGGCCTTCTCCATTTTTCAACCATGGCCTGGCCACAGTATGTATTGGACAACAGCTCCAAATGGCCTGTGGAAGGCACATTTGACTTTCAGATCCTCACAGAGTTGGTAATTTCTGTTGTCATGAGGGTAGATGGTCTGAGGTTCCATATGTGGAAGCTTTTTGCAACCTCCGTTCCTGCCGTTCCCCATGCTCCCCCTATGCCAACAACTCAGCCAACTCCTAGCCAAGGCTAAGCCCTCCCATCTCCCAAGGATCTCTTGGACTTATCACCTACCCACACCTTTTCCGAGCTACTGGAACCTTAGGACTCACCCCAACTGCCTCTTCTCCTCCACTACCCTCCTCTGCCAGCTTCCCTACATGTCTTTTTCTGAGCCTTCGGCCCATCTGCCTCTGTACGTTACCCCTCCAGTCCCTCCGCCATGTTCCACGGTCACCTCTGCGGTTACTTCTTCTCCAATCCTCGTCCTTCTGTTATGTTTCCAGACTCTCTCTTCACTTCCTTGGTTGCTGCTGGATTCCAATGTCACCTTTGCTTCACCTTCTATTTCTCCACCATGTTCCCAAGCTCCTCCTACCACCCCTCCCTTATTCTATCTACTTCCATCCCTTGCCCCACCTTATTCCACCTAATCCCATCCTTCTCTTTGTTTCTCCTTTTCCCCACTGTGCAGAAAATTCTTGCTGCTGCACAAAGGAGGCCCAGGAGCGGATTTTCCAATAAAGCTTCTGTTAAAACTTTGGATAACTTGCTGATATTATTCCACCAATGGGCGGGTGGTCGGTGGTAATCATCTAACAGACCACCCTGTTCCATAACCTCTCACAAGGCATACTGACATCACAGTCTTACTTTTAGCTTTAAGACTGTGGTGATTATATATGACAAGTCAAGCGTCAGGCCGACAGTGATCTCACCAATTTTGTTTTCTAGTTCTCAAATAAAAAACAAGATGCATTTTTATCCTAGGAACTCAGACGTTTGAGAATACAAGTTATACAGTCTTCGTACTTCCTTGTTCCCAGGCAGCTCTCCTGTGACTTGCATATAAAAACAAACTCTCGGGCCCGGCGCGGTGGCGCAAGTGGTTAAAGGTCCTCGCCTTGCATGCCCGGGATCCCATATGGGCACCGGTTCTAATCCCGGCGA